GGCTGTGGGTGTGGGTGAGGTGTACGTGTGGGTGTGTTTCTTCTGTTAACCTACGAAGACATCCAAACCCACAGGAACATTCATAGCCACCCTCACACCCACACGTACACCTCACCCACACCCACAGCCACCCTTTCTACTTGCTTCATCAAGCCGAGATTGCACACTTTGGCGATCGTTCTTTCTATTTTGAAAATTCATAAACTCCTGCGAAGGTATCGCATCCTGTAAATAATCTTTTTTTGATTTCATAAGAATCAAAGTCAATATAGAAAGAATCTTGCGAACTGCTGAGACAATGTTCCATCCTTACAAGAAAATGGATGAACTCGACGTCGAAGGAGATGAACTTTGTTGCAAATGGTAACTTCACTCTATCAAACTGAGTTTACGATGAAGTAAAGGTTTTCTTTGTTTAAAGAGTGTCGTGGTGTTCAAAATGTTTTTGCATTGGACTTATCTTCAGCGCTTTGCATGACGGAGTTGTTTTTGTAACTACGTCGGCACTCTACTTTTATTATACGAGTGAGCATTTTTATTCGATGGTTAACATTCTTCTTATGTATTTATCTTACTGCTTTGTGTAATAGTCTGAACCAGTGATACCAAACAAATCATTTCATATTGATAATAGTACTGTTGTATATACTAAATTCAGCATGTTCTTCACTAAATTAGACCGATAATAATAAATGATTCATTTTGTTTTTTCTTCTTATGATTTGATCAAAAAAAGTCAAGATTAAAACCGAAGCTTTCAGATTATGATTTGTATTTTCACGATGTTTTATTTGAGTAAATCTGATGTTGTTGTTCCAATCCATGAAGTCAAAATAATTAAACAGCACTTCAAGAATGACTGTTTGATTACAGATTGTGTGTTTCAAAAGAATCACTTTACTGTCAACGTTAAAAGAATAATGTTCTTTTGAGGGATTTTTCTTTGACGCACACTGTTATTATGAAAATGATCTCATGTTGCGGAGTTTCTTTTAGCAATTAGATGACTTTCTAAATATTTCATCACCGATATTAATATTCTTTAACATATTTTCGAGTCTTCTCTATAGCGTTTTTTAAAACCAAACGCGACAAACTATGCAGGGAAAGAACACAAAAAAGAAATATTATTTGCATTGTAATCAGTTGAGTCAGCTCTGAAGACGATTGCGCAATGTACAGCTGCGCTGATTTCAAAACATGTCGTCAGCCTTCCGATAGTCCTGTTTATAAAAGGACACAACAAAATTACCTGAACAAACTGCGAAAAATGTCACGTCGTGCACAAAAAATGGTTGCTACGGCAGCCAGAAAAAGCTGCTGGTGATCAATCATTTGTACCCGTTCTTCTTCTATCTGAAGTCGATGTTCAACAATGTAGTGAAGAAGATTTCATTCAAATTCTTACCCATTTTAATGAAATTTTTGCTAATCGCCCAGAAGATCACCAATCGATCTATGTCAAGCGAGTCTATCATCGAATGCTACAACTTCTATCACAACAGGCAAGACTTCCATTAGATAAATGTGGTATAGTAATCAATCAGTATATTCTTTATTATCCTGAAATGGCTATATTAACACTCGATGACTTGAAAAATCTCAATACCGTAATGGAAAAACGATCCGTAATCATTCATTTTGATTGCAGTGCATCCATGAGCTTGAGAGGTTTCGATCCTTTAGTTGAAACCATTGTTCGAGTAGGTAGACAATTAGAAAGTCATGACAATCGAGTGTATGTATCATTATTTGGTGATAGTAAGCAACAGCGAATTCATGCAAACTTTCATGGTCGATTACTTACCTTAGAAGAATTCTCTCAGGGAAACTATCGACCCAATGGTGATGCTACAGAATTTCGTCCATCTCTTACACGAACACAAAACTTTCCTACACCTTACGATACTATCATTGTTTCCGATGGTGACTTTACAGATCAACATACTCAATTTCCTCTTCAACCACAATGCCATACTGTGTTTTTCGTTGCGCCACCATGGTCACCATCGGGTGTTGAACAGCGCCATGCTCAAGCACTAACCTCATGTGTTCGTGCTAATGTTCCATATATCGGTATTGCTTCCGTAAGATACCCACAATTGGAAACAATTATCGGAGGATTTCTTCGCGACCAACAATTTTCCGTCTATCTAGCCGATTTTGTTCATATTAGTGGGTATGCCATTCCACAGAATCTTCTCGCGCCAACTCGAATGATTCAGGTGTTCAACAGTTGAGTTGCTCGAGGTGAAGCGCAATTACAAGTTTTTGTCAAGAAAATTATGGGTCTCTTCCGATACCTGGAAGAAACAGCACAACTCAATTTTGAACGATGTATGCAGGGAGATGAATTTCGAAGTCTTCTGTCATTAGTAACACCGTTGATTAAACTATCACAAGGTTATCTCGAAACAAGTATTATTTGTCAACAGTTGTACGGATACTTGACGAAAATCTTGAGCGATTTTGGACAAGCATTCCAAAAATTAATGAAAAGTTCGGATAATAACCCGAAGACTAAAATAGAATTTCAAAAATTATGGGACGATGCAATGAGTTTTAGTGAACGCGCAATGATTATCGAAGAAAACAGTCAACGATATGGCAAACACGTTGCTTTCCTCAATATACACGCAAACAGTTTAAATTGCACAAGTCTCATGTTATCCGAAGCATTACAGCAATTGAAAACGATCTATTCACCAGGCGATGCCGATCTTTTATCACTTACATTTCAAATTTTAGCTATGTCGAGAATTGATGATCAACCACCATGTAACCAGGAAAATTTCAATATTCTCATTTGGAGAAAATCCGACGGTACTATCGATCTCTTGTCCATCCTACGTCAATTACCATTATGTTTACAACAATATCAACACTTAAACCAACTTCAAGTCGATCGAGATTGGACATTACAACCCTTAACAGCTCTTCGTCTAGCTTGGGTTATGGACGCCAGTGGCAGAGATTTCCCTGATTTTATTATGCAGGCCTTGCCAAGTTTAGTTGTACACAACAAATATCTAACTGATCTCGATCAAGATGAAAATAGATCAGCATTTTGGATGAAAATACTGCGTGAACTCGCTCCAAAATTAGGTCTACCACCGGAAACTTTGCAAAACATTCATCAAATCTTAACTGCTCATGCTTTAAAGGGCTTTGTACTTCGATTAACTGCTGGTTCCGTTACTTATCAGAAACAAATTTATGAGAATACTGCGCCATTTATTGATACTGATGATTCCATGGCTTGGTGCATTTTTGTCAATGAAAAATCCGAACCATTTGATCCTCGCACTGGTCATATCGTTGTACAAACACACTTTATTACAGATAAATACGAAATCGAACGATGGTACACTATCAATCTGCGCACACATGGTTCTACTGTTCGACCACGATATTTATCCAAACAAGACTTCGCCAATTTTCCTGACGATGCTATTGAACTCTACGGAGCCGCCAGTCCAAAAGATGTCGATATCCTTCGTAATCAAATCGAACAATCAAGCAACGGTTCCTATTCTTCTGCTCAAATCAATGCTCACATCTATACTATTCGAAATCGACTTAAAAAAGTTCCATGCGTAACTTGGGGAATGACAGAACGAATCCAACGAACAGTGACTGTTGCCAGGAATGCATGCCAAGGTACTACTTTACCAACTGAACAAGTTGTGATAAACATCACCAGATTGACCACTATCGAGTACTTAATTTCACGTAGTGATGATCGATTTGTCGCCGGAGTATTACATGGACTCATAGAATTTTCGCGAGTAGCTTCTCAACAAATGGCAACTGGCGCTACTGAAATCGACTATGCGATTGAATGTGGTCAAAAAGCCATGACAGAAGAAAACTTGCCACAAGCAGCAACTTTTGTTCATTTGGATAAACCCGGCGTGCGAGAATACTTAGAAGGTCAATACAAAAAACTTACTTTGCAATTGCGTTCGGTCGCAGCTCGTCCACAATTTGAAAGTTTGCCTACACTGTTACGAAAAGTCAAAGCAACAGCCATTGATGATGCACTTTCGAGCATGGCCGATCTTGAAGCATTACCAGAACGGGTAACTACTGCGCAACCAACTAGACCATCTGCTAGAGTAACACTCGATCAAGAATTGTTTACTTGTCCAATTACCCTCGACATTATGGAGAGTCCTGCGACCACTAGTCCTTGCGGACACATGTTTGAACTGAGTGCTATCAACCAATATTTACGATCAACTAATATCTGTCCTTCATGCCGCACAGTCGTCACTGGCGTTACACAAAATTTTGCATTCAAAAATGTCATCGAAGCGTGGTTAGCTCAGCAAAACCCATGACTAAAGACACATTTTTCTATTCTTTTCAAAATAAATCACTATCGCATTATTATTATCTTTTTTTCTTTTATCGATTCGAAAAGAAACTATATAATCCTGGTAAAATAATCATGTAGTCTTACGAGAATCACTTTAACGAAACAGAAATGACGGTGTATGAGATGGGTGTGTTGTTAACAAGAAACAAAACGATTAATCCCATGCATAGACTCAGAACAAAATGATTCGAGTCAAATACCGATGACATTCATCTCTAAATGTCATTACACCTTATCGAAATGGATCGTGTGTCAAAGAAAATTGAATTGCTAAATCCGTTGCATCTTGTATTTGATTTTCTCCCCTGCATTTGACAATATCGAATGCGTGGAAAAGTCATTCACTATTTGGGATAATTAGGAGATTTGTTCGTATATACATATGTCTGATAAACGAGACTGATTATATCTCAATCATGACAACGATCAAAAATCAAGGTTATCTTTTACATTCCTGCGTTCTATTGAATCTATTGATTCCTCTTGCTCAATCGAACAAATCAAGTCTATCCGATTTGCTCATTAAAAATAAGCGTTCATCAACGAATTACATGAATCATAACGATGAAGTTCTGGTATTTGACCATAACAACGCTGATGTAGATTCAGCACTGAGTGCATTAATCTTTGATGATTTCCTCCGTCGTACGAACGTTAATGCGAAAGTATATCGTCTCAGTGAGCTCGACAACGAAACAAAATTTGTACTTCGAACCGCTGGCATCACACAACCTGATCTATTGCCAGACAATGTTCCAAATGGGACTCAAGTCGCCCTAGTTGATCATAATGAAAGTAAGTCCAATTATGCCGATTCATAATTGTGTATCGATTGAAAAACTAGGGTGTAGGTGTAGGCGTGGGTATGGGGTGTGAGGGTGTGGGTGTAAGTCTGCAGTGTGGGTATGAGTGGTTTGGCTGTCAGTGTGGGTAGTGTGTGACTAGGGTTTGGGTGTCGGTACCATTGACGAGAATACAGATTATCAAATACAAACCCACACCCACACCCATATTGACATTTGTAGAAAATAAATGTTGATATGATATTGTTGGATTATAAAAATATCTTATATTTATCCATTGACGACTAATAAAAAGAGAACGAAATTGTAATGCATTAATTATTTTTCCAGAATCTATTGATAATATTTGACGACAAATAAGAACAGATATAAAAATCAAAATCTATTATATTATTTATTATATCAGGTAAACAATATTATCGAACAAAATTTGCATCTATAAAAGATTTCCAAATTGTTTGATTTGTTATATAGAATTCTCCATTTCCAAGATGAAATTTCAGATTTTTAACATAATTTATGCTGTTGAGAAGCCATTTTACATAGACAAATTCCAAATCATTTCGAATGAAAGTTTTTAAAGTAAAATTTCGTTGTAGTTTTGGCAGCTATGATTTACAAAAAATTAATACATTTTTTTAAAAATTCTATAACAATAAAAATATCAAAAAATCCCATCATTTGATTTTTACAATCTACTGATTTTATCAGAAATGAATATAATAAAAAGATATAAAAGAATTATTATTATTAATTTGATTATAACTAACTCAACTTTCGTTCTTATTTATATCGAAATCAAATATTTGATTATAGAAATTTTAAAAATATGATATTACTTGTTTATTGTTGTTTACACATTTTAGAAGAATCGAAAACTAGATCAAGTGTAGCAAAAATACTATAAGAAAATTCTATTAAATAATGTCTACAATACTTGAGATGAACATGATATTTTGAAATTCTAAGAAATGTAAAAAAGACTAATATTCTTAATTAGAAACAATCTTATCTAGTAAATTTTCCAATCAATATAAGAACTCTTTTCTACATGATTAAAAACTCTATTGAATAAACTAAATTTAGTATATCTTCTTATTAAAACGTCATAAGAATTTTTTTATCCCATGAACATCTTACCATATTTTAGTATCTGAGCATGACATGTTATAATAGAGTTCGTTGGTTCCAAAATTTGTGGATGCGGACCCGATTTATTGAACATTTTTCAGACCAGACTCGATTCATACTTATCCTATTCTCAATGAATCTTTTAATTTAATATTTGATAGTTGCCCGAAGGTACGAGACATTTTTCTCCACCATTTAATTTCGGTAACTAGCATGCCCTATACTTTTCTCTAGACATCGTGAATGTGATCTCATAAGAATAAACTTCTAATTGGCGATTAATTTTTACAGTAACATATGTCTAGTTGAACTCCAGATCCAGTCGATGCGGAATTTTCAGATGCTGATCTGATAGACACTGCATGCCAATCTGTTCTCTAATGCTTTATCTTATATTCAAAGTAACTGCAGGTATTTGTAAAAATTTTGTCTAACTTGATCTTAATCTAAAAATTCATAAAAAATAAAGTCTTTTTTTCTCATATTAACAAATTTGTAGAAAAGACGTATGAAATTATTTTTAAAGAATTGATTCTAATAATCGCATATGATTTAAAAATCTAATACAAAACATATGTATTCATACTCATTGTATACAGCATGAGAATGACGAGAAAAATAAATATTTAATATATAACAATGTGATTAAAATTTTTATAAACGATCTTTCATATCATTCGTTCTCTTACAGACATCTTTAGTAACACACCATCACAGATCATAATAAAAACCTAAACCCTCATATTTACAGCGTCAGCAGCTACATCATCTTTGACATTTTAATCTTTCAAAAGTTCCAGCATTATCTTTGTTCTACTCTTCACATGAAATAAAAATCGACTTTTTTGCTTTAATTATACGTATAATAAATTTCATTGACAATATTCAACTAATTATTGTTCTATATTACTACCAGTATACTTCTTCAGATAATTTGTTATAAATTAACACAATTCAATTGTTTGTTTAGAGAAATAAAAAATAATTTGTACTTAAATCTTTTACTATTTTATTCTGTTAAGAAATTATCATTAGTTTTTATTAAAAAAATTGGCTAAATTTTACTTTTACGTTTGATTAAAATTGACAATATCGATTTATTTTTCTACGAATTATAAAATCATTAAACGTCTCAAAATTTTAATTACATTAGAGAAAAATACAATGGAGAAACAGAATTTTTCTCCATTGTATAATATGAATTAAAATAAAGAAAACTATATGATTTCTCAAGAAATCTACTCTACTAAAGCATAAAATTTTTAATAATGTTCATTGATAACGTAAAAGATAATTAACATTTAATCCTCATCTCACCATCGGAGTGAACTCGAACATTGTCTTTCTAGATACGTTCTTTCTATGATTAAGTAATAGATATTACAAATAAACATTTTTTTAACCACCAAAAGATCCGTTCAAACCTCAATGGCTTTTAAGTTTAATGCTAAACGTCTATAAACTGCAATCAATCAGATGATACAGCAGTTAAAGTATACATGAACACTGGATTTGCAACATACAGTTGAAAATAAAACGAAAATGAGAAAAAGATAAAATAATTTGCTATTAAAATTGATTCATTTTCCATTTGTTTTTTTTGTACAATCAAAACTTTTATTATGTTCATACTTTCATTAGCACTTAATAGTAATTTCGTATATTATTGCTGTTTTATGAAACTATATCCGTGCAAATTTCAGATGAGAACAAGACTATTATTCCATAAATGGTGAAATGAAGTTCAATTTATCTTATATGAAAAAAAAAGAATATGTCACTAATAGATTTTGTTAACGGAAAAAGTAATGTCTAACTGAAAAATTAAAATATACTATTAGCTTTTATATACAAAACAATTCAAGTTTTATAACGTTATCGAATTTTTAAACGAAATAAATTTTTATCAAATAACTATTTTTCAAATGAGAAAACTTCTTACAATGAAATAATCAATAGTATAAACATGTCATTAAGAAATCAATTGTATATGACACTTTATCTTTTACTTATATACTTTTTAATCAAAATAACAAAATAAAACAACAATATATTTGTCTTATTTTATTACACCAATCTTCACTTGATTGATTTAATTTTTTCAATAAATGATCTAGAGTCTGGTTCAATATCTAATGTTTTATTAAATTTAATTATTCAAGAGCAGATGTATATTCAATAAGATGTTCAAGAAAATATAAGCGAGAAGGAGTTGTAGAATAAGATTGAAATTCATTGAAAATTGAATTTTGAAAAGAATCAGAATAATTCTGTACATTCATCAATATTTTAATCAATCTCATAATTACCAATATCAAGTTGAAGAGAACAGCTGACACAGAAAACGTTTAAATATGTTTAATAGATTTCGTACAGTTTGTTAATAAAAATACAAAATCATAATTGAGGAAAAAAAAGTACTTTTTTTTTACATGAAATATTTATTCTTATCTATCAAGGATGCGATCATTGTAGTGTGAGAGTACGCACTTTCCCACTTTCGAAAAAATTGTATATTCACTTTAGCATTTTTTTGAAAATTTCCATTGCATAATTTTTCTCACTGTGATTTTTTCAACACCTTTTTTATGTTTATTCATTTAAATGAAAACTATTTATAAAAATTACAATTTTAGATCAATTTATCTGTTAAACAATAAAACTTTTACGCTTTTCTGATAATCACTTTACTCCCAATGTATGTCATTATAACTCCACTCTTTTGCCTATATCTATATGCTTTTAACTCTGAGTAACATGCTTTATTCTAAGAAAACTATATTATTAAACATAATTGATACTCTTTAAGTCCTATCCTTAGAGCTATACTAATTATCTTTATACCTTTAAGAGCCATTGCCTGTAAGAATCACGGACTTTGGGAAGTGACACCCCTCAGAACTGCCTGAAAATTTCAGGGTATAGAGAAAAAGTTGTCCTCATTCCAAAAATATATTTTTTTTAAGTACTCATAAGGTAATAAAAAAGTTATGGCTG